TGGGCTAGTGACCAAAGGCCTACAAAGAAACCACTTCCTGTGCAGACGCCACCTTAGGTCCACTAATTACAGTCAGCGAAACCATTCGCCACTCCCTCGTTCTCTCTTCCCACACAGACAGCGGTGCGTCTGAGGTCTGAAACAGTGAGAGCCTCACCTTCACCACATAGATGTCCTGACTTTGACAGTCACTGCATGTGGTATTGAACAGTGCTCTAATAAACCCTCAGCCTGCTGTGCCTAAGGACTGTTCTGCCGCAAATCCAGTTTCTCATTCTGTGCGCTCGGAAGATAAAGGGTGGTGGCAGCGCTGATTTTTTTAATACATTACCATAAAAGTGACTCTAAATTTAGGAAATTCACATGCTCAATGTGGCAATCTGTCTGAAGAAAAACTATTGTGTTTGTTTGGTTTGTCCTGAGTAGATCTCGGCACAAGTCAACGACTTTTGGTCTGACTGTGCTCGACCCAGAAATGCAGATATGGATATGGGCGATCGTGGCTCAAAGACCTGGCAGTTCGAGCCCCGCCTCAGACAGTCTCGGCCGTTGTGTCCTTGGGCAAGACACTTCACCTACCGCTTACTGGTGTTGGCCAGAGGGGCCGATGGCGTGATATGGCAGCCTCGCTTCTGTCAGTCTGCCCCAGGGTGGCTGTGGCTACAACTGTAGCCTCCACCAGTGTATGAATGTGAGAGTGAATGAGTAGTGGCACTGTAAAGCGCTTTGAGGGCCCCAAAAAGTGCTATATAAATGCAATCCATTATTATATATTTTATATATCTTTTTACCTGCACACAAAAGCATTTTTTCACTCACACAAAACAGTCATTAGATCCTCCATAACCTGTTTTTTCCACAACATCAGTTTGCAGAATCATGTTTTTAAAATCCAACATTTTTAATCAATTACTGAACCAAGTGGAAAACAATCTAAAAGTACTCAGAGTTCCTCATTTGAATCAGGTGAATCAGAAACCCCGCAGCTTCCCATGCTGCTGCCGCTGCTGCTGTGGAAAAGAGAGAGATGCAACGAAAGTGTGCAAATCCGAGAGAGCGCCAGAGTTGTGTGTGAAAGAAAATAGATGGGGGTGTGCAGACTGTGAAAGGAAATTAGGGATTATTTACAACATTTGTGTGAAGGCAGAGAAAAGAGAAGGAGAGGCAGAGACAAACACGGTGAGAGACACACACACAGTGCACAGTGTAATCACGCTGACACATTAAAGGTGATAAGTGTGTGTGAAGTACAGATGAGCGAGAACAGGAGGAGTGGGGGGGACACCTGAGCAGAAACAGGAAGTGATCGTGTGAAATAACTCAGAAATGCTGATAAGTGTGTGTGAATTACAGAGCAAGGGAGCAGAACACACACGCAGGAATGCACACAGACACACACGCTCTTGAATGTTGATGCAGGCTGCGTTGCCCGCAGGGCTGCGATCGCTGTTTGCATAATGCGTCACTCTCAGCCGTCATCGCTGTGATCTGCTTGCTAGTTTAGCTCCAGTGTGAGGCTGATTTCTTTCCCCCCAGACTCTGGATCCACCACGTCAGCGCTGATGTACAGATGAGAAGCTTTGATCAGCGCGACATGTTTGTCACTTTGACTCAAGGTTTGCTGAGCGCGTTTATTCTTTTTAGCGACACAGAGAAGAAGAGTTACCGGTAAAAAAACCCTCGTGACTTTTGCACTTTGACCATCAAATAGCCGCATTAAAAAAAA